GAGGTGAGATAGCTGTGGCTTGTTCTGTCTCTCTGATCTACCAGCATTGACCCCAATAACTGGCCTCAGGTTTGATTTTTATTAATAAGTACTTTTAAGATTTCTGCTACAGGTCTCCGTCTTATACTCTACCCACTTTGGTCAGCATTCATTGATGAACCTTTCCTGCAGTAAGTGTAACTGTGGTGCTACTTAATGACCCACTTTCACTTATTTCATAGCTTTTGTAGTCATTCATTGAAACTGTACCGTGAGAAAAAAATGTATCACTGTCAGCAAAGCCTTCCCTCATGATTCATGAGGAATTAGTTGTACAAAACCTCACAAATGATGTTCTATGGACGATCAAACATCTTATGGATGCTCAAACACCTTATGCCAAATGGTATGGTATTTGCCTAGAATCTGTGCACACCTCCTGTCTACTTTAAATTGTTTCTAGATTAACTAGCTGATACAAAGTAAATGTTTTACAAGTGTTACTGAACCATGTGGTGGTGGACAGAGCACTGGGGAGACCAAGGGGGAGAGCATGCATGTTAAAGACCAGCCTTGGCTACTCCATGAGACCCTGTGCTGGAAAGACAGACAAAGTAATTGTTATACTGTATTAGTTAGTGACAAGAATAGTATCTGAAAATTACATTAACACACACACACACACACACACACACACACACGGTCTTTATATATTTTTTAAAATTCTATTGTATTTATGGGGAGGGGTGCATATGGGTGTCAGAGGACAACTTGAAGAAGGGTCTGTTCTTCCCTTCTATCACGTGAATCCCATGGATTAAACTTAGGTCATCAGGAAAGTGCCTTTCCTCATCCATCCCACCAGCCCCATACACAGTCTTCATGAGTTGCAGTTGGTTGACTCGGCAAATGTGGAGTCTTTAGCTCTGCATAGAGACTCGCTCTATTAGATACTTAGTTTACACTATAAGTTCTAATTCATCACTAGTAGTATTTAGCTTTCTGCTCCAATTGACCCCAGATTGGAGTATCAGAGGTATGTCAAGTAGACTCCTGAGTCTTTTGATGTTCCTAAACACTTCTTTACTTTTAGAAAACATATTTATTACTGGGTATGGTGGTACATGCCTTTAACCCCAGTGCTCTGGAGGCAGAGTCAGGTGGATCTCTGAGTTCGAGGCCAGCCTGGTCTACAGAGTGAGTTCCAGGACAGCCAGGGCTACACAGAGAAACCCTGTATTGAATAACACAAAACAACGAAACAAAAACTTATTTATGTGTGTGAGTGTTTGTCTACATGTATATACACGCATCACATGCATGCCTGGTATCTGCAGAGGCCAGAAGACATCAGATCCCCTAGGATTTGAGTTACAAATGGTTGTAAATCATAGGTGCTGGGAACTGAACCCCATTCCTCTGGAAAAGCAGCCAGAGCTCTTAACTTCTGAGCCATCTCTCCAACCCATACTTTTTAAATAATAATAATAATAATAACACCCTAGGATACTGAAAGATTAGCTTGTATTTTCCATGCCCCACTCCTGAAATTAACCATTTTTATAAGATATGCTGGTTCCTGTCAAGAGAATATATTTAGACTATATGGTAGAAGATACGGGTGCTAAGTGAATTCATTCCTACTTGGCTTTCATTGCCTCTGGGTCCTGCCAGTGCAGAGCTATGCTGTATATATGTAGGTGTTCATGGGCCCACATAAAGCCCATATTTAATCATATACACACAGGGAGGGGGGAGAAAGAGAGAGAGAGGTTGAGATTATCAGTTTGTTTTCTGTTGCAGTAATATAACACCATGACTAAGGTAACTTAGAGAAGAAGTCGTTTCTTTTGGGCTTAGTTCCAGAGGGCTAAGAGTCCATCACTATCATGGCATCGTGGATCAGGGAGGCGTGGCATCAGGATCAGCTGGGAGCTCACATCTCAAACCCCAAGCAGTAAACAGAGCCCCTGGAAATGACGCATGACTTTTGAAACCTTGAAGCCCACCCCCAGTGACATCCTTCTTCCAATAAGGCCATACCTCCTAAGCCTATGGAATCACCAAAGAAACCAAGTATTCAAATGCCTGAGAAGATGAGGGACATCTCAAACTACTACTACTATTGTGCAAACACAGGATTATGTGATCATAAGACACGATACCTTAAATTCCAGTCCAACATGACCAGTTTCATTCCAGCCTTCCTTCCTATCCATCGCTCCTGTCCAGCAGTGGGAAATCTGTCAGTGCTGCTCAAATTGCATAAACATCAGGTTGTTTTGGAGTTGTGTGTACATGCCGCTTAAGTGGCAGATGTCCTACCTGGAGGGTCGCCTTGTGCCTAGTGGTGTTTTGGGGGGACACCAGGCCCTCTTTGGGAGCTAGTGAATTTTCTTCCAGATGCCTTCTGGAAATCCTGAGGACATTTGAGTGGGCTCATCAGGTGACCTACAGTCAGAATTCCCAAATTGCCACCCTGATGAAACAAGTCAGCACCGGGTGTGTGGCTGTGTGTTCATAGAGGACATCTTGAGAGCAGGGCACGGTCTGCGGGATGGGTTAACAAGAGTGATGGGTCCACGTGCTGGAAGGCCTCGGGTGTTTCCTCTTGGGTTGTTCATGGTGATCATGTGTGTCCTGGCCTCTGACTCACTCTCAGCCTGGAGAAGAAAGGCCAAGTGTATCTAGTTGGCTGGCAGACCCTCGGCATCACTGCCATCATGGATGGAGTGGAGTGCATCCACACCTTTGGTGCTGGTAGGCCCTAGTCCTGATGCTCTTTCAAAGTATCCCAGCCAATTGGTCGGCTATCAAAGCGTTTTTCTGCAAACCCCCGAGGTTCTCCAGTGCCCTCCATAAAGAGGCATTTCAGTCAAATGCTTTTTCCATTTGAAGCACCAAATTCCACCTCGCCCTTGACCTCTCGGCTCCCCCCTCAGTGCTTTGACTATAGCTTCCCCCCCAGATTACCGCTCACCCCGCGTCCCACTTTCCGACCCCATGACAGCCCCTACAGCAGAGCCTTAGTCCTATCTTCCAAAGCCCGCCATTCTTTTCTCTCTGATCTTAAATGTCCCAGATTTTCAAGACGTCCGTGGCTTTCTCATTGGTGATCACAATGGCATGTTTAACCAGAAGGCAGAGCTCACCAACCAGGTTGGAAGAGGACAGGCCTTGGGAAGTTTTGGGACTCATTGGTGTTCAGAGGGCAGTGGGGGAGTGGAGCCTGGGGGTGAGGGAGGATGAGGGGATAAACAGTCAATGTAGGTCAGAGGTCACGGAGCCTCAAAGCAGTGAGTACGGAAGGCTCTGGATTGACCCTCCAACACTTGGCTTTAGTTCACCTTGGTAAAATGCTACCATTTTGAACACTGACTTTTTTTTCCAAGTGAAGTCAGAAGGGCTGCATTAGATGTCCCCTAAGGTCCCCTCAGTCAAGTCTGTGCTCTTGAGTGTCCTGCTGGGAGGAACTCGCCTGTCTTCTTCTCTCCCAGGGTCCCCAGTTCACCTTCTCCCAGGATGACTTCCTGACTTCCATCTTGCCATCCCTCATGGAAATTGACACTGTGGTCTTCATTTTTACCCTGGATGGTGAGAGAGAAGATGGGAATCGTGGGGTTGGAAGCAGCGGTGGTTCAGAGGAGCTGCCGTTTTGAGTCTCAGGGTGCCTGTCAGAGGAGGATGTCTCAGGGATTCTATGGTTGTGATGAAACACCATGACCAAAAGCAACTTGGGTAAGGAAGGGTGTTTTTTTTTTCTTTCTTTTTTTAACCTTACAGTTTATAAGTCTATTACTGAGGGACTTCAGGGCGGGAACCAGAGCAGAAGCCATGGATGAACGCTACTTACTGTCTTGCCCCTCATAACTTGCCCAGTCTGCTTTCTTATGGCACTCAGGACCACCAGCCCAGGGGTAGCACCGTCCATAGGGAGCTGGGCCCATCAATAACCAATCAAGAAAATGGGCCACAGGCTTTCCCACAGGGCAATCTGGTGGGGACATTTTCTCAACAGAAGTTCCCTTTTCCCACATGATTCTGGCTTGGGTCAGGTTGACACAAAAGTACCCAACACAGAGGGACAGAGTGAGCGTCCCGGCAGGTCCCCAGGGTGGCAGGAAGAACAGCTTCATAGCCCAGCCTTTTAACTCGGGTGCCTCCTGTCCCATGCAGATAACCTCACAGAGGTCCAGGCGTTGGTGGAGCAGGTGAGAGAGAAGACCGTGAACATCCAGGCCCTGGCGCACAGCACCGTGGGACAGTCCTGGCCAGTGAGTGTCCAGCAATGGGGAGAAGATCTGGGAGTGGTCCAGCCAGGCCTTCTGGAGCACACCACCCGTTTATCTCTTCCTCCTCAGGCCCCTCTAAAGAGTCTCTTTCCCTCCATCATCAGCATCACGTGGCCGCTTCATAATCAAAGAAACTACTTCCTTCTGGAAGCTTCCAGACTTGACCGGACAGAGCCAGCACACAGCCTCACTGAACCCAGAGCTCTTACATAACTGTCTCTCCTTAGTGGGAAATCCACTCCCTTTGTCTTTTGTTCTAAATGGCGTTCCTGTGCCATATCCCTACTTCTTGGGTAAGTTTCCCATGGTCACGTTCTCTTCCGACATTGCCTGGTTTTGAAGACGCCTTCTCTGATTAACTTTATATTGTCTTGGCCCTCTATGACACTTACAGTCGTGATGCTTAATATAAATATAACCCTTTATACCGTAATGGATATTTCATATATATTATCTCAGTTCTTATAGCAATCTCCTAAGGCACGTGTGTTCAGTTTCGCCATCTCTCCAGCCCCTTATTTCTGTTTTCTTTCTCCTTTCTTTTTTGTTTTTTCAAGACAGGGTTTCTTTGTGTAGCCCTAGCTGTCCAGGAACTCACTCTGTAATCCAGACTGGCCTCGAACTCACAGAGATCCGCCTGCCTCTTCCTCCTGAGTCCTGGGATTAAAGGTGTGCACCACTATGCCCAGCTATTTCTGCTTCTAATGTAGTGACATTTTATTTACAGTTTGTCTGTATTCAGATCTATTAGTTTTTTTCCCTTGTGGTTTTCAATCTTTCACTTCTTCTCTCCATATGGAATTGTCTGAAGAAAAGGTTTCCATTGGGACTTTATCATACTTTGCTTTTTGCTGCTATGATAAAACACTGACCAGAAGCAACTTGGGAAGATTAAGACTTTTCCAAGTTACACTTGACAGTCTATCATTTCGGGGAGTCGGGGCAGGAGCTCAAACAGGAAGCAGGAGCAGAGGCGGGACCATGGGGGAAAACTGCTTCCTGGCTTATCCTCCATGGCTTGCTCAGTTTTCTTTCTTCTTAAATTTTCTATTATATTTCACTATTTGTGTGTGTGTGTGTGTGTGTGTGTGTGTGTGTGTGTGTGTGTGTATGTGTGTATGAGTATTGTGAGTGTGTGTATGTGTATGTGTGTGTGTGTATGAGTATTGTGAGTGTGTGTATGTGTATGTGTGCGTGTGAGAGAGAGAGACAGAGACAAGAGACAGAGGGAGGGAGTTGGCTTCTCTTCTTCTACCTTGTGTTTCCAGGAGATTGAACTTAGGTTGTCAGCAGGCACCTCTACCCACTGGGCAACCTCACCAGCCCTCAGCCTGCTTTCCCATACAGCCCACAACCACTTGCCCAGGGGTGGCACCACTCACCAGAGTGGGCTGGGCCCTCCCCCATCAGTCATCAACCAGGAAAATGCCATATAGACATGCCCATGGGCCAGTCTGATGGAGGCAATTCCTCATTTGAGGTCTCATCTTCCTGGGTGACTCTAGTGTGTGTCAAGTTGACATAAACCAGCACAGACTTGTTGATCTTTGGTTGTAGGAATATTTTTGATAGTGTAATGGTCTTCACGTTTTAAAAAATAATTTGTTTTTATTTTATGTGCATTGGTGTTTTGCCTGCATGTATGTCTGTGTGAGGGTGTCAGATCTTGGAGTTACAAACAGTTGCCATGTGAGTGCTGGGAATTGAACCTGGGTCCTCTGGGAGAGCAGTGCGTGCTCTTAACCACTGAGTCATCTCACAGCCCCTGGTCTTCATTCTTAATTTGAAACATTTTGCTCTACTCACCCATCCTTTGCCACATTTACTTCATCCATTTCTTTTTCCTAGCTCATCTGAAAGATAAGCGAAGCCATCTTATACTTCACACTGTGCCAGGCAGAGTGGCACACGCCTGTAACCCTAGCACTTCGGGGGCAGAAGCAGAATCAGGAAGAGTTCAAGGCCATCCCCAGCTACATAAGAAGTTTGAGGCCACTCTTAGTTACATGAAACCCTGTCTCAACAAACAAACAAAATCACACCAATCACTGACCAATGCTCCTGACCTGCACCCTGTAGTCACGATATTCAGCCAGGCCTGGAAGAGCACAGGCCCTGGTGGTGGTGTTCACCTCCCTGATCACACGCTGCCCAGGGCTGTTCTGTCCCCGCAAAGAGATAAAGAGAAAGGAGAGCAACCTAGCCCCAGTCCCTGACCATCAGGCTTAACTCGGGACCTCGTAACATCCCAAGGAGTAGTGTGGAGGTGACTGGAGGGATGTTCAGAGATCCAAGGGCACGGGTTGGGGAAACAGGGTGATTCTACTTGCTGGGAAATGATGCAGCCAATGAGAATGTTGCCTTCTGGGACGTCCCAGGACACAGTGGCTGAGTTGGCTCTGAGGTGAGTAGCATCACATTCACAGGAGAGGGAGGTCTCTGACGGACCCCCACTGCGAGCGTCTTCTTCACTCATCTGCTCGCACAAAGCCCAGGTCACAGCTGACCAGCAGGAGGACCGTGGGACTCAGATATGGGGAAAGGGGCATCAAAGAAGCCAAGGTTTCCACGAGTTTGCCGAGGGGCCTGGAGGGAGCACGAGTTGAGGGCGTCAGGAGCTGCCCAGAACGCAAGTGGGATGCAGCAGCTCTCCCAGGCTGCCCACAGCCCATTTCCCGCCTCCGCATAACCCTGGTGCCCACCCCAGCCCCACCCTCGCAGTCCTCGTGGTCTGTCAGGCCTCAGGGGCTGTTCGGTGCCCAGGGGCGGCCCATCGCCGAAGTGGCGCTGGTCCTACCCCAGCGGGTCTGCGGGGCGGGGGGCAGCGTTCCCAAGGGCCGCACGACCTCTGTCCCTGAGCAGGGGGCTTTGCTGGGGAGGCCTGGCAGCGGGCCTGCGTCCCCGGTGCAGAGGACAGAGCGGTGACCAAAACTGGCCCCCTGCAGCGGGATGTGATCATCCGGGCCAACCAGCCTGCCGCCGCCGCCTTCTGTAGAGAGCTGGCCCGGCGCGCTCCGCTGCAGCCCAGCTGGGACGCTCGGGCCCGCCCCGCCCCACTGGGGTTCGCCGTGGTCATCCTCCCCCACCCCACCCAGCCCTGTTCTCTCGGAGCTCCTCCCACGACCCTCCCAGGCGGCCTGCTGGGCCCCTATCCCTTCATCCTCCCTGCCCTAGTTGATGAACTGACCAGGGTACCTGGACAGGCGCAGGTGCCAGGGATTCGGGCACCTGAGAGAGCCCCGCCTTCCCGGCATGAAATTAGCCAAGTTGGGAGGAGGCATTCCATCTCCGAATGCAGGAGGGGGCTAAGAGGAGAGGAGAATGAGTGGTGGAGATGATAATTGATTTAACAATCTCTTGGAGACTGTGTCAGCCTTTTACGTCTCTTTCCCATTCATGATCTGATTTGATTCCGTTCTCTCTTTCATTCGTTCTTTCATTTATTCAGCAAATATTTACTGATCATCTTCTGTGTGCCTGGCATTATTAGAGCTGGAGACGACTTCGAAAGAATGCTGGGAGGATAGGAGCAATTAAAAAGTTCCTCCCTCCCTCCCTCCCTCCCTCCCTCCCTCTCTCTCTCTCCCTGCTGCCTGTTGATCCAGATATAGAACTCTCAGCTATCTTTCCAGCTGCATGTCTGCCCATGTGCCACCATGCTTCCCACCATGGCAATAATGGACTAAACCTCTGAACTGCAAGCCAGTCCCAATTAAATGTTTTCCTTTGTAAGTGTTGCTATGGTCATGGTGTCTCTTCGCAGCAATAGAAACCCTGACTAAGACAGGGTCCTTTTCTGTATATTAAGCCAAAATAAAGAAATGGTGAGAGCTGATTGGATGATTAAAAAAAAAAATTGAGAGATTGGTAACACCCGGTGGTGTTGGGAGTGTGGGAAAATGGACTAGACAGTTCTGGTTTTGTTTTGTTATTAAATTATTTTATTTGAATGGGTATTTTGCCTGCATGTGTGTCTGTATAACACTTGTGTGGCCTTCAGAGGCCAGAAGAAGGCATCAGATTCTCTGGAGCTGGAGTTACAGATGTTCATGAGCTACCACGTGGGTGCTGGGAATCAAACCCGGGTCCTCTGGTAGAACAGCCAGTGCTCATAACCACTGAGCCATCTCTTAAGCTTGTCTACCCAAGTTTTAAATACACACAGGCACTGACCCAACAGATTCCATCTGGTGCTGTCCTGTAGACACGCCCATACTTGGGAACAAATAGATCTAAGATCTGCTGTATTATAAATGCACTACTATTTCATACGTCATTAAAAGGAAAATACAACCTTTTCAAGGCAGTACTGTGACACTGCACCATCATGTCACTTAGGACCTTTATCTTTACTTATTAAAGTAGTTCTTTCAGAGAGATGCACAGTTTTATTTATTTATTTTTAAAGATTTATTTATTATATATTCAGTGGTCGTCCCCCATGTATACTTGCATGCCAGAAGAGGGCAACATATCTCATTGCAGATGGTTGTGAGCCACCATGTGGGTGCTGGGAATTGAACTCGGGACCTCTGGAAGAGCAGCCAGTGCTCTTAACTGCTGAGCCACCTCTCCAGCCCCCGAGGTGCACAGTTTTAAACAATTCATCCCTTTTGGCGCATACTGCTTTCTCCTTAGCTTTTCAGCAATGTCGTTTCTTTTCCACACAAAGCAACAGAAGCTACAAGGAGAAAAACTGCTCAGGATGCTGAGAGCACAGGATGCTTCTTTCTGCAGAACACTGGGAGTTCATTCTTGACGTCACAAAGATTTCTTGTATTTTGTTGTTGTTGTTTTGGGTAGTTACAAAGTTCCTGGCTCCTATCAGTGGGAGAGGGGGTTGACAGAAGCTGATACACCCAGCTAGTGTGACCACATTAACATTCTCCAAAAGGGGACCGTTCTGAGAGTGAACGACGAGCGAGCATGAATTGTGACTGTCACCGACAGTCTGACCACACGGCCACCCTAATCACTGGCCATTCTAGTCACGGCTCTTTTTCCTATTACACTGCATGAGTACATGAAGCAGATCCAGGAAAACTCTTCTTCCGTGTTTTGAACTGTGAGGACACAGAGGATGAATACCGGAGGCAAGTTAGCATTCCTGGTCCCTCCTCTGCTCCCCAGGGCTGGAGCTGAGCACCAGACAACAATGGTCCTCTGTCATCTGGCGCCACTGTCTGGCCTTGTCAGTAAAGGTGCCAGAGGCCACTGCTGGGGCATTTCTACCTCTTCCTGATGCTTTTCTTCTGGCTCCTACAGCTCAGCTGCCAGTGGGTGGCTTCTCACTTGGGACTGGACAACACATGGTTGCCCACGTGCCAGAAGCTTTAGCCGCAACCCTGTAGCCAACTTCTCTGCCATCCAGCAGTGTACACATGCCAAGTCACATGCAGAGGTCAGAAGACAGCTGGCAAGGGCCTCTCTCTCCTTCCACTGTGGACTCTGGGAATTGAACTCAGGTTGATGGGCTTTTTTTTTTTTGGTTTTTTGAGACAGGGTTTCTCTGTGTAGCTTTGTGCCTTTCCTGGAACTCGCTTTGGAGACCAGGCTGGCCTCGAACTCACAGAGATCCGCCTGGCTCTGCCTCCGGAGTGCTGGGATTAAAGGCGTGCACCACCACCACCACCGCCCGGCTGGGCTTTTTTTTTTTTTTTTTTTTAATTGTGTATGTGACTTAATGACTTTGGGCAACCCATGACACCTAGGCTACAAGAAATGCCAAGGTTGGCACTGCCCACAGTGCCCTAACCTCCTGAGACTCCACACACATCCACTCTCATCCAAATCATGTGGAACCATGTCATGAAGAGGGAGGAATGATAGGATCTTGGGGTCCCCTGGGTTCTGGAGAGATGGTTCAGTAGTTAAGTGCACTTGCTGTTCTCCCAGAGGACCTAGGTTCAGTTCCTGGCATCCACATGGCTTACAAACATCTGTAACTCTAGTCCCAGGGGATCTGATGAAGACACCAGGCAGGTAGAACACATACATGCATGAAGGCAAAACACACATTAAATAAATAAATGATTTTTTTTAAAGGCACACACTCATAATCCCACAAAGGGAGGCCCTGAACCCTGGAGTACTCTCACTCACGTGACCCACTGTCACTCTTGACGGGGTGTTTCCGGTCTGTACTATTGCTTTGCTTTTGAACAAAGCCCCCCTTTCTACTTTGCTATTTGTTTCTGTCTTCATTTCAGTTCCTTGAAGGAAAGGCTGAGAACCTGGAAACACCAGATCCAAACAACATCTCCTGATTAACTACCGTTTTTATCCCAGTAACGGGCCCAAGTATGGGCGTGCGAGCCTCTCAGGGCCAGCACACACACCTGGCTCTCACTTGGTGGCAGTTTGATCTCCTAGAGGCTCGGAGGGAACGACCTGCATCCAGCAGGATGATCAGAAGGATGCTGCTAACATGATAGAAGCCACTCTGCAGCCTCCCCAGCAGATGAGATGCCTGCAGTGCCAGGGATGGGCATGGTCCAGAGGCAACGCTGTGGGTAATCAACCCTCCTCAGCCACCAGGAGTAGGAGTGTGTCAGTCACTTTTCTCATTGCTGTCACAGAATACTGGACACAAGCCGCATTCAGGGTGGTCTCCTCTCCTCCGTTACGCCTTCGAGCAACACCCTTTTGGTACCATGTCACACGAGCCTTTAACCTTCCTGATAGTTGAAGTGCTTTCCTTTGCTTGTTTTGTTTGTTTGTTCTTTGTATTTTTAAGATTGATTTGTTGTGTGTATAAGTGTTTGCCTGCAAGCGTGTATGTGTACCATGTGTATGTCTGGTGCCATTAAAGGCCAGAAGAGGGCATCAGATCGCCCAGAACTGGAGGTACAGACAGCTGTGAGCCACCATGTGGATACTGGGAACCAAACCTGGACCCTCTGCAAGAATAACAAGTGCTCTTAATGGCTGAGCCATCTCTCTAGCCCCACATTTTTAATTTTTTAAATGACATTTTTATGTAGTGTGGGGGAGGGGTAAACTTGGTTATCTCCTACTCTGTGGATCCCAGGGATCCAATTCAGGTCATCAGACTTTTTAGCAAGCTCCCATACCCACTGGAACAACTCAACAGCCCTTAAGCTAGTGTTTAATTGGAGTCTCCATTACTAGCAACTATGAGCATCTTGATAGATTAGGAAAGAGAAGAGAAGAAAGAAAGGATGTGTGCTACACAGACCACTGCCCTCTATCTTAATTACTCTCCCTGTTGTCGTGATAAAACACCCCGATAAAAACAACTGATAGGGGGAAGGGATTTGGGGCTCACAGTTCTTGGTTCATTGTGGTGGCTAAGTCACAGCAGCGGGAGCTCGAGGCATCATGTACTCACAATCAAGAAGCAGAAAGCAATGGGTGCTTGTGCTCAGTACACTTCCTCCTTTTCATGTCTCCAGGGTGGCCCAGGGAAACGGCAACCCACAGTGGGTGTGTTTTCCCTAGTCAAGGTAATCCCCGACAGACATTCAGTCTTGGTTTGATTTCTAGTGTTGTGATAAAGATCATGACCAGAAGCATCTCAGGAAGGAAAAGGTTTACTGGGCTTACACATCCTGATTATAGTCCATCTCGGAGGAATGTTAGGACAGGAACTCAAGGCAGGGTTCTAGAACCAGAAACTGTTAGAGAAGCCATAGAGCCATCTGCTGACTGGCTTGCTCTCCATGGCTGGCTCAGCTTAGTTTCTTACACAACCCAGGACCACCTGCCTAGAGGTGACACCGCCCACAGTGGGCTGGGCCCTCCTCTGTCAATCATTAAGCAATAAGATGCCCACAAACATTGCCTCCAAGCCAGTCTGATGGAGGCAATTCATCAGTCCCTCTTCCCAGATGACTGTAGTCTGTGCCAAGTTGACAAAAGGAAAAACCTAACCAGCACATGTTCTCAGAGGCTAAACTTAATCTAGAGCAGTGGTTCTCAACCTTCCCAATGCTGTGACCCTTTAATACAGTTGCTCATGTCGTGGTGACCCCCCAACCATAAAATTATTTTTGTTGCTACTTCGTAACTGCAATTTTGCTACTGGTATGAATCATAATGTAAATATCTGATCTGTGACCCCTGTGAAAGGGGACTAAATGACACACGGGTTAAGAACTGGTCTAGATAATTCCTCGCAGGTGTTCCTGAAAGCTTGCATTCTAAGTGACTCTAGATTCTGTCAAGTTGACAACCACGGCTCACCACTACACCTTCCATCTTCCTCTACCCCAGATCTCCGCATCCCAGCCCCTAGAATCCACACGTACATTATCTTACACCTTCAAGGGGATTTTGTAGGTGAAGACACAGGATGGGGAGATGGCCGTGGCTCATCTGAGTGGGTCTTAGAGACTCACTGGGACTCTCGTGATGGAGAGGAGGAGGATGAAGAGTCAGAGGAGTCGCAATGGTAACAGAAACACAGGATGGAGGGGTGTGCCTCAACAGAGGATGAGAGTGTTGGGCAGGGAGTTAGATGTGAGGTTTCCAAGGACAACTGCAGCTGGACCTTGGGAACTGTGCCTCTGACCCTCAACTGCAAGGCCTCTCTCGGTGAAAAGTCCTCGGGGCTGCACTTGGGTTGTTTCTGTTAGAACAGGAAAGCAAAGCACCAGGGCATTTTTCACACGTGTGCGATAGTGAAGGGTCTACATCCACAAGACCCTGCCTTCATTAGAACATCGTTTGCACTGTGGCCCTTGACTCTCCCTTCGTGGGTTTTTCTAGAGGAGCGTGAGAGAAATCTTCCTGAAGGGGAGATCCTGTCTACTACGGTTTGAGAGGGGAAGGGATCAGCTTACCCCATGACCACACCACCCACTTCATAAATATTTATAAAAATAATAAAATTTTGCTTCAATTGTTCTCTTGCTAGAGAACTGAGAGTCCCACATCCATAACAGCAGGATTGGTCGAGCCAAGGAATTCAGGCGGCTTCCAGAATGTGGAAAAGACACAGGTCAGTGCAGCCCTAACCATCCCTAGACTTTCACCTGCGAGCCCTGTTCAGACTCCTGGGCTCCAGAACTAAAGATTGTAAATTGACCTATGTGGTAGGGCATCGTTTCTTTCTTTTTCTTTTCAGGGCTGGAGACTGAATCTAGGGCGTCATGCATACTAGGTGAGTGTTCTGCCACTGAGCTTTATCCTCTGCCCCTTTAAATAAAAAAAAATTTAAATGCATTTATCTAATTTGTTTATTTATTGATCTTTGCATCACAGAACGTATTTGGAGGCCAAAGGACAATTGTCAGGACTCAGTTCTCGCCTCCCATCAATGTGGGTCCCAGGGATTGAACTCAGGTCATCAGGCTTGGTGGCAGGTAACTTTGCCCACTGAGCCATCTTGCCTTCCTTTTAACATTCTTTTATTTTTGAGACATAATCTCCCTAAGTTGCCCGGGTCAGCCTTGGACTTCCTCAGTAGCCCAAACAGCCTTGAATTTTCTATCCCGCCTCAGCCTCTAGTAGCTAGGCCGTTGCCACCAGGCCTGGCTTTCTGGCAGTATTTTAAACCACTAATTTTGTGTCATAGCATCAATGGAAAACCATCACAGTATAATCGTTGGAAAACCCAAAACAAGATGCTGGCGTGAGTCCTGCCAATAATATCTGCAGAAGGCCATGAACTTGGAGTGGAGACCAATATTTGGCCCAATATACCAAGCCAGTGTAGGTAGAGTTTGAAGGCAGGACCTGGGATTCATTGGCTTTGGGAGGTCCTGGAATGTATTAAGCAGCTGTCTATTGTGGTGGTAATCTAATTGTATTGAAATATTATTTTGATTTATACTGAAATATTAATTTGATTGTATGTTAATAAATAAAGTTGTCTGGGGGTCAGAGCTATTAGAGCCATAGCAAGAGTGTGGCGGTGGTGGCACACGCCTTTAATCCCATAGATATCTGTGTGTTCAGGGTCAGAGCTATTAGAGCCATAGCAAGAGTGTGGCGGTGGTGGCACACGCCTTTAATCCCATAAGATCTCTGTGTGTTCAGGGATACAGCCAGCATTGGAGACATATGCCTTTAAGACCTAGGGGGCTGTACATTCAGACAGTGACGAGGCAGTCATGTGTTTGGGTTTACAACCAATGAGAAGGCAGAACAACATACTTTAAAAATACGAACCGAGAGGAAGTAGGTCTCTTTTCGCGAAGCTGGGACAGCAGGAGGAAGGGTGAGATTTTAGCTCTGAGCTCCGACTTCTCGGCTTTCTCTTTTACATTGTTTCTGTGTTTCTTATTTAATAAGACGGTTGGTTACATCAACAGTCTATTAATTTGTGTGTGTGTGTGTGTGTATGTAAGTTCCCTTGCTTTGCAAACACCTTAGATTTAAATGCTGGTTGCCATTCTCAGAACCTTCTCTGTTCTTGGAGCTGCTTCATTTAGGAATTGTTTTGTTTTGTTTTCCTTGTCCAAATAAACTCTGTTTGCTATAGCAGGCCTAAAGAATTCTTCCTTTTGGCAACACAATTATATCAATAATTAAATATGGAAGGCATGGACCCAGCTCCTAAAGATCAAGCTTGTCAGACCAGATTTGCTATGTGTCATTCATGAGAGTCATCGATGCAAGGTGATTACCCCTGAAAATGCACAGACTCTCTTAAAATGCAAAGTCCTCATTGCCAGCCAGTGACTGCATGGGGGACCTGCCCAAATCATGTGGCCCAACCCCCACTGTGCTTTGCCTTTTCTTTTTTTTGTTTGTTTGTTTTTGTTTTGTTTGTTTGTTTGTTTGTTTTTTTCCGAGACAGGTTTTCTCTGTGTAGCCTTGCGCCTTTCCTGGATCTCTCTCTGTAGACCAGGCTGGCCTGGCCTCGAACTCACAGAGATCCGCCTGCTTCTGCCTCCCAAGTGCGCCACCACCGCCCAGCGTGCTTTGCCTTTTCTGCACGGACACATACTACATCCAGGTTAACACTTCAGTTAGCAAGAACAGTTAGTGAGAAATAGAACTACAGAAGCCAAAAAGCAAGGTTCGTACCTCGAGGGACTTTCCCAGATCCCGGAACTATGGACTAGGTCTTTGATGGATCGGGTCTTTGTTCCCATTTTGGGACCTACATGCTGGGTTCTAAGATCAGAATGGTGCCTCCAACATGGTGTCACTTGTGCTAAGGTCTCGGGTCCTGTTAGAGTATACCTAAAACAAAATGACACTGAATGGCCATGGAAACTCCCACACCTGTGGTCTCAGTTAACCGAAGCCACCCCCAATTTAATGACATGCAGCCGTAACCACTTCACTGGCTCCTGATGCACCGGGTCAGTGAGTTGAACTGCATTCTGCAAGGCAGATCAGCCGCCTCCCCTGGGGTCATCTAAGCAGAGCTAACCCAGATGGCCCTTGGCCACTTCCTCTCATTCAGCCTCTCATCCTCGAGGATGCTAGCCCAGACTTCTGCACAGGGGGGCAGCAGTGTGCCAGATGACGCCTAGGCAGTTACAAATCTCTGGAATCAGCCTCAGAAATCCCAATTTGTAGCCGGCTACCTTCTTTGCCGCTGGCCTGAAGTTGGGGACAGTCTTATGGGGCTGAGCCCTCAGCCTGTAGGGTCTGATGCTGTCTCCTTGCAGATAAGAATGGATTTGGTGTCCAGCAGGCACTCCTGCTTGTGTGCAGGTTGGGAGAAACACCCCACACATTTAGGATTACAGAATTGAACTGTGTTATAAGAGTACAATAGAAGACTCTGAGTTTGGCTTGCTTTTCCCCCCTATTCACCAGCATAGTTCATGAGGTATTCCTTTTATCCATAGGAAGCTATTTGTTCTTAAGTATTTGATGAGTATATGGAAGGGGGTATGGAGAATGAAGGGAGACAGAAAGACCAAGGGGGTCTAAGCAGCTGACACACTGGCTCAGTCTATTGATCAGCTGGTTATCAACAGCCATGTTCAGCCAAACCTAGGGGGTATCTAAAGCTCTGTGTGACCTGGCTCACCATGCAATCCAGGGGGTGGGGCAAGACCCCACCCAGCGAGCGGGAATGCCTTGATAGGCTAGGAGCCCAGAGTAGATGCTGTTTCCTTCTGATTCCACGCCACGGGTGAACTCCTGCATAGAGGGAAGAAGTGGCAACTTGAGAGCAGCCTGATGTTTGATCTTGATTATTAACTTGATGGGATTTACAATCACCATGGAAACAAGCTTCCCAGCACGTCTGTGAGGGAGTTTCTCGTTAATTGGGCTGGGAAGGCTCACACTAAAATGTGGATGGCACTAGTCTGTGAGCTGGGGTTTCAGATTGAATAAAAAGGGGAAGAGGATGCCGGGCGGTGGTGGCGCACGCCTTTAATCCCAGCACTCGGGAGGCAGAGCCAGGCGGATCTCTGTGAGTTCAAGGCCAGCCTGGGCTACCA